GTAATGTGCAAATCAATTAGCTTAACGATCACCCTAGGGGCCGGTCTGTAACATAATACAAAGGAGCCTGACTTCGTTGGATCTGCAGTCACTATAACAACTCCCTGTTATGGCCCAAATTGTGCCTTCACACCATAATATTTAGGGATTCGTGATCAAAATAACATTATTTGGAGGCAATTTTTCCCCACCAAGATAGGCAACATATTTCCTAGGCTGTAGCCCATCTTCAGTTATCTCACCATCAGCTACTTGGCTCTGGAATGTTGAGCTCTTGATATCAGCAGAAATTTGCAATGGAATAAAGAAATGGTGGGACCAAGTTTCTGTTAAATTTCTGGAGTGAGCGAATCATTCAGTTTAAATCCCTCATCATTTTTGGAGAAGTCTTTAATGGACACATGCCAAAAGATGATTCTTGGTATATTTTCTGATGCCCAAAGTCATCTTTGAGGTGACATACTGTAGGTTAAAATGTTTACAGTTCTTGTATTGGGAAGCTGCCCCATCACTAAAACATATTAATTTTGAGATACTTTATAAGGAAGCACAGTTTTGAGATGACTCAATATTCTTAAGCTGAAGACATGAACAGTTTAAGTGCCATGCCGGAGACAGTTGGATAAAACACACTGAGTAACTTTAACAAGCAGTATCTCAATTCCTATAGTATGGATGCTTAAATGATATTTCATCATCCAAACCACCCTTTTCTCCCACGTTTTAATATTCCAAAAATCTATATATCTCATTAATTAACCATTCCCAAGTTTTTTGTCAAATATGCTTTTTGTGTCTTGAAAAAATCAGTTGTAAAACATATCAAAAATTTTCTCTCCGGAGCATGTCTTAAATCAGGGTTATATTATATGCAAACAATGACGTGCAGTACATGTTTAAAAAGTAGTTAAGAGGTCTATCTGTCTCTTATACACATCTAGATGTGTATAAGAGACAGGTTATGACCACCTCATAATCAGTTTTATTTGGGAAAAATTAATTATTTTAAGATTTTGACCTTAGGTTGTGTGGTCAACTACAGGCCAATACCAAATATTTTAATGGGAATTAGTTATTTGGGATATAGACTATAGCCAAATGCAAGATTATTCCAATCAAATTTATGACAATCCAAAAATGGCCGCAGCTCAATAATTGACTCCCCTACCCTAAATTTGAGGGATCAAATAACTACGTAGACAATTAGCAATGGAAATGAAACTTACACGACTGAAAGATATGTATTTTGGCCATATATGGTAGAAATATTTTTATCTCAACTCAACCCCTTCAATATAAACTCCCAATGTAAAAATGGTGTATTTTCTATATCAGCAACTTCTGGTTTCAACCCCCCAACCCTTATGTATCCTAAACTGCAGTTCAATTTGACAACACATGCTTGTGTGATCATTGGAGACAGAAATTTGAAAAAAAACTGATTGCTATCAAAGTTTAAAATGTTCATAGAAAAAAAAATATTGCAAAATTCTAATAAATAATAAAACAAAAAAAAATCACTATGAATTATAACCAGGGAACAGTTAAATTTCACTCTTCCCTGATTATAACACCTCATGATTCTAATCACTAACACACATTCAATCTTAAACCCAGTAACTTTATTTGACATATTTATTTCGGTGTGAAAACAGACTGACATGAATCTAAGAGGGCAACACAGTGACCTTATAAGCATATACAATAAACAGTTAAACAAGAAACATAAAAGGAATGTACACTAAATAAGAAAAGCCAGTATTAAATCATTATCATAAGTATTACTATTAGTATTAAATATACATAACTTTTACATGCAGGTGAATAATTTGGTAATTTTTTCGGTGTCCGGTGGAGATATTTTGTAAAAAGAGCACTTTGTCCCTGCATTTCTGGTGCATCAATTATGTAGATGACATGTTGAACAGGAACCATACGGTACATCTAGGAGGGCTCCAAACAAATGGGTCAACTAGCTTATGGCTTAGTAAGGCCTTAGTAAGGCCCAAATTTTGCTTTCAGACTACAATATTAGGGATTGGCAATCAAAATAACATTATTTGGATAGCAATTTTCCCCAAGATAGGCAACATATTTCCTAGGCTGTAGCCCATATTCTGTTAATGTTCTAGAGTGAGCAAATCATTCAGTTAATTTAAACCCCTCATCATTTTTGGAGACATATTTATTGGACACATGCAAAAAGATGATTCTCAGTATATTTTCTGATGCCCAAAGTTATTTTTGTGATGACAAATTTTAAAATGTTTACAGTTCTTGTATTGGGGAGCTGCCCATCACTAAAACATATTACTTTGGAGATAATGTATAAGGGAGCAAAGTCTTGAGACGACTCAATATTCTTAAGCTGAAGACATTAACAGTGCGAGTACCATGCCGGAGACAGTTGGATAAAAGACACTGAGTAACTTCAACTAGCGGCATCTCAATTCCAGTACGGATATTTAAATGATATTTCATCATTCAAACCACCCATTTATCCACCATTTTCCCCCAGTTTTTAAATACTCAAAAAAGCTATATATCTTATTAATTAACCATACCCATTTTTTTTGGTCAAATATGCTTTTTGTGTCTTGAAAAAATAAGTTGTAAAACCTGTCAAAACTTTTTTTCTCTGGAGCCTGTCTTTAAATCAGGGTTATATTTATTAGAATTATTACTTTTGTGTTGAACCAAAAAACGTACAATAGATTACCTGTAACGTTTCATTGGCAGACTGCCAACTTCTTCAGACTGAAGCATGTGCTATAATGGTCTGGTTTGGTCCAGGGTTATATTATGCAAACAATGATGTGTAGTACATAAAAGTAGTTAAGCAGTCTGCAAGAATCAACAAGCTGTCTACATTCAAATTAGACTTATAGACTGGGGGATAGGGAATATTGGGGTTGGGGAGTTAAAACCAGAAGTCGCCGATACAGAAAATACCATTTTCACATTGGGAGTGTATATTGAAGGGGTTGAGTTGAGATAAAAATATTTTTACCATATATGGCAAAGATACATATCTTCCAGTTGTGTAAGTTTCATTTCCAATGCTAACTATCTACATAGTTTTCTTACCCCTCAAATTTAGGGTATGGGAGTCAATTTTTGAGCTGCGGCCATTCTTGGGTTGTCATAAATCTGTGATTTGATGTTTGATTGGAATAATCTTGTATTTGGCTATAGTCTATATTATATATCTATAACTAATTGCCATTAAAATATTTGATCTCAGCCAATAGTTGCTCATAACTTTTTAATGCCTATTCAGAGCTTGATTCTGATGCCAGAATTAGGAAGTAGGGGCAGAACTGAGCCAGAGTAGCAATTTACAGCTTTCTATTACATCCAGAAATGAAAATATTGCTTTTCAAAAACCCTAACAAGATATCACTGCTCTTTGAAAAAGGATTGTGTCTTCAAAATTTAAAAGTGCCGTAACTTCGGAATGCATGGGAATTTTTCAATGAAACTTTGGGATTTTTCATAATACCCCTTAATGTATATTTGATTAAATTTTCAGCAAAATCCAAGATGGTCACCATGGAAACTTTCTGTAAATTGGTTGAGTTGGCATGGAATGACTCTATATATAAATATATATATATATATATATATAGAGAGAGAGAGAAATAACGTCTAGGTCTAAGTGAAACAATTGTGGAGGTTGTTATGAGGAGTAGCTTGAGATGGATGGGTCATGTGCTAAGAAAAGACGAAGGTGATCCAGTAAAGAGAGCCTGGCATCTAAAAGTTGAAGGTAGAAGAGTAAGGGGACGGCCAAAGGTGACGTGGAAAGATATGGTGAAGAAAGAAAGTGCAAAAATTGGTTTGGAGGAGTATGATGCACAAGACAGGAAGAAGTGGAAAGATGGTGTAGCTGCATGGAACGAGTGACAGTCAGTAACCCCTTGGAAGAGGGAAGAAAACTGACTTAAATAAATGATGATGATGATATATGAATATCTATATAGGCCTATTCGTTTTATTTTTCTTTATATTTTAAGTCTAAATAGTTTTGTGAAAAATACCAATGATAAATATCATTAATCAATTAATCAATCAATCAAAATATAAACAAAACAAGAGACTTACCAAGTAAACTTCCAGAATGTAATCTACTTCTGACAAACCGTATTGAAATAGGTGTAATAATGTAGTATTGAGTCAGCTACATCACCAACCCTGTACAACAATGTGTAAACACATGATTATCAAAGGGCCATTATATTGACAACAATTGCTGGTTAAAAAGAATAACCTAATAATTTTGAGTACCCAATAGACCCAGCCTACCAATAATACCCTTTGACGTTGAGAACAGAATAACATGGCATTGAGGCCAGAACATTCCAGCAACAGTATGATACAAGATATGGGCCATGAGACGTAGAAGTATCGAGCTAGTGGTGGGGGGGGGGGGGAGGAGGCCTGCAGCATAGTTGATTGTATAATAAAGTCAATAAAAGTAAGAACCCCTCTTCCTGCTTTTATTTCTATTCTTCTCTCTTATTTTTTAAGAGGAAAGGGGTTGGGTGGGGAGGCTCATCTGGACCTGTCCTTGCTTATGTTAATTTAAAAACATAACTTCATTCTAGTTCTAGTTTACTGCATCTAAACTGTATTTTTTTTCTTGGAATAGATACACCCCTCAGATATGTCATTTCCTACCGTGGACAGCTTGACAATATTTATTGTTAAGAAACATTACAGATATTTGGTTGTAAAAATATTTTCCTAATATTGCAGAAAACACATTTCTGGGTATCTAGGGAAACACTTTCTAGAGGTGAAAGCCTACGTAGCTTTAAGGAGGAAAGAATTCTAATACAAAAAAATTTTATGCTTGCAAATTTGTACAAAATTGGAATTCCCTGCTAGCAAAATTCATTCTAAATTGAAGAAAAAATGTGTGTGTTGTAATAATATACAGTTAATGAAATACTGAAGAGCTTACTATGTGCTTAATTAAATTATAGCTCTCAATAGGAAATTAGAATGAGAAATTAACTAATTTGCATAATGATAATGATACCGTTTCTGTATACTTTGTGTGATTATTTATTTCAAGTTTATGCTGATAGCACTTTACGTTAGATTTACCTTGGATGGTATAGTTATACGCCTTGTGTATGTACTTCTTGTGTACCCATTAGAGCCGAAATCACCAATTATTGAATAGAGAAGATGTATTGATAACTACAGACTATTCAGAGTCATTCAGTAATATAACATTAAACCCACTCTTCTATAAGGCACGAATGAGAAGTCATTCATGTAGACATGCATCACAAGCTTGTATGGGTTTTGGTCAAATAGATAATAATAATAATAAAAACATGCAGATATAAATTTTTGCAGAAGATTGTTTCCTGCTTGTGTAAATATGGGAGTCGTCCCAATGATTTTACCCGAGACTCATGCGATACGTACTGTGATTTTCAAAATTTTCTTGAATATGATTGGTCACCAGTTAGGTCAACGTAAATCATATCTGTTTGACGCCGGAAGAGAGAGACAGACCAGGGTGCATAGATGCCAGAGTTAGCAGAATTTTGCTTTTTAGTAGAAATTTGACCTTTTTAGCATTATTCTTAGCAGAAATCAACCTACTATATTCTAGAATTACCAATATAATTGTTATTCGTCTCCCCTGTAAAAATAAACCGTCTGAAATCCCAACTTTCCTTCAATTAAAAAATAGTATGTAAAATAATTCCAAGTCCGCCTCATGTATTTGGGCCCGATGAGGGCAAGTGGATATCTAAAGTATATTTCCCGCACAATTAAAATCATAACAGTACTGGTTTGGTCTACAGGAGCTTGTGCTTCGTACAGGTCTTTCCATTCATAAAAAAAGCCTTTTTATTGGAGAAACTGTACCTGTCGTTAGCCATAGTAGCATAGGTCAATACTAACTCCAGCTATATAAAATTGATTACAAGATTGAAAAATATTAATCTTATTGTAGTAGTGACACTATGTCCATTTTTAATTATTGTTATTTATTCGTTAAAGATGTATTATCCCATGCTAAATACCAAAAAAAATCATAAAAATATTTTTTGAAATTAACTTTCCCATTTTGAAGAAATATAAAAGTTATCAACTTGAACATAGAAGAAATTAGTGTATTTAAAAAATGTCTACCCATCAGTTTACAGCAAAAAATGATAGAAACACTTCCAGTGACTGGAAGTGTTTTATTATTTTTATAATTTTTTGTTTCTTTTTTATAATCTAGGCCTAAACCGAGTAGCAATGTGTGTAGTGTATAAAATAATGAATAAAAAGTACTGTATGAATAAACGCAAATTGTGAAAAAATAAAGGAAGAATAGGAAAGAGATTTAGAGCGGCCGAAATTTTTTAAATTTTTAATTGTATTTTTATTTTTTAAATTTTTTACATTTTTTTAAATAAATTAATTTTTTTATTTTACTTTATGTATTATTTATTTATTTTTTTTGCTTCATCGGTCGTCAATTGTTTAACTCTCCACCCCCTCCCCAGCTCATCAGCATTTTGGAGTGTAATATAGTATAATAGACAGTGTGGGATTTAGCGGAATTAGGAGAATTAGCAGAATGTCATTTTTTTGTGCTGGTCACACTGCCAGTGTGCGAGCTTCGCGAGATTTGCTGGGCAAATTAGAGGAATATTACTCCTGGTTTGCAGGAATTACAGAGCTTTATATATTGAAAATTAACTGGAATCATACCAGAGCAGTTCCATGTATGACCCAGACAAATGCAGTTTTATGTATGATGTTGCCTATATATTCAGTTTATCCTCGGTTTTCCTCTATTGATATAAAAACAAATGATACATAATGTATAATACAGTAGAACCCCACATTTGGGGCACTCGTATTCAGGGGACACCCCTATTAAAAAAAATTACTAAAAAAAATTAGGGGGACAGGGACACTTTCTGAGTTAAGGGAATACTATATACTGAGTATTAAGGGAATACTATTTTTTTTTCATTGTATCACAACATCTACAGCACTTTAAGAATAGGAAAAATTCATTCAACTTTACATTATGACACCTTTTGAGCAATAAACCAGAATTTTCTCCCCCTTAATCTATGAGTGAATATCAGTATAGGTACTACATGTGCTTTGACCCTTAAAAATGGGGATTTCTTTTTCTTTGTTTTCTGTATATTCTATACAGGATTCTAATCCATAACAAAACATATTGCATATTGAAAAGTTGGTATAGGAAGACATCTTCGTCAAATTTCAGCTTGATAGTTGGCTCTATCAATGTGTTTGTATAGGGTGCCTAGATTCTTCATTTGGACGACCACTTAATTTAAATAGGTTGAACCGTGCTAAGTTGAGCTCTTGGAAATTTTTTTTTAATACAATATACAAATTTGTTTTTCTATCCTTTTGTATAAATCCGGAGTGACATTAAATGACTGACCT